TGTTTCTCTTTGCGCGTCGTCGCTTTGAAGACGCTTCTCCGTTGTCGGTCGCACCCGAATCAAGAGCCGCATCGCTCACAAGGCCGCAATATCCATATATACGTTAAAGGGCAAAGTTGTGATTGTGTGCGTGTCTGTTGAAAATGTTTAGCGTACTTCCCGACATGCAACAAACTTGAAATTTGCCATGCGGGTACTTTCCAGACTGTACATCATGCAAACATTATAAAAATACACTTTTTTGGGGGGGGGGAGGGAAGGGGGGGAGCTCAATAATGCATTTATTTGTTGCACGGCAAGTGAGCTGTGACGTCAAATCTGTCACGTGATCCGCGCACGTGGAAGCGTAACGCATTGTAGTGTAGTGGTTAGCGCGCTGTGTGTGTGTGTATCTGTGTCTGTGTGTGTCTGTGTGTGTGTATCTGTGTGTGTGGGTGTCTGTGTATGTCTGTGTGTGTGTATCTGTATGTGTGGGTGTCTGTTTATGTCTGTGTGTGTGTATCTGTGTGTGTGGGTGTCTGTGTGTGTGTCTGTGTATGTGTGTCTGTGTCTGTGTGTGGGGGGGAGGAAGTAGTGTAGTGGTTAGCGCGCTGTCTGTGTGTCTGTGTGTGTGTGGGGGGGGAGCAGTAGTGTAGTGGTTAGCGCTCTGTGTGTGTGTCTGTGTGTGTGTCTGTGGGGGGGAGGGCAGTAGTGTAGTGGTTAGCGCGCTGTCTGTGTGTGTCTGTGTGTGTGTGTCTGTGTGTGTGTGGGGGGAGCAGTAGTGTAGTGGTTAGCACGCTGTCTGTGTGTGTGTCTGTGTGTGTGTGTATCTGTGTGTGTGTATGTGTTTAAGTCGTAGTTTCGTGGTAATTGGAGGGCATGGGCCGGATCAGCTTAATAACAACGGTAGGAGGCTGCTAGATTTTTGTGCAGCCCATGGACTTGTGATTACCAACACGCTGTTCCGGCATCGGCGCATCCACACAACATCATGGATGCATGCCGGGTCCAAGCAAGAACATCTGCTGGACTACATAGTGACGGACCAGCAGATGCGAGCCCATGTCCTTGACACCAGGACCTACCGTGGAGCTGATCTGCCCTCTGACCATCGACTTGTCATCTGTAAGATGCGATGCCCATTCTTCCGCTCCGGTGGTGGGTGTACACCCAGGACCCCATTCCAACCAAAAGTGGCCTGGTCTCGGTTATCTGATTAAAGTTGCAAGCGAGAATTTCATCATCGCCTGCGGCTGGGGTTGGCATCGTCCCCCACTCCTCCTGATGTCGAGGATAAATGGGCGAGGTTTAGAACTGTGACTCATGCGGCTGCAATGTCTGCTTTTGGTACGCGGTCAGGACCTCCCCAGTGACCCTGGCTGACAGAGGAGGTGTTCAGGATGGTTGAGAAAAAGCGACAGGCCCACTGCCATCGGCTACAGAATCCCATGTCAGAGAATGAGGAGGCTTACCGCAACCTTCGCTCGGAGGTTCGGAGAGCCGTGAGGCGCTGCAAGGATGGGTGGTGGTCGCGGGTTGCTGAGGAGATGGAGTTTGCCTCAGTGGCCCGCGATCGCAAATCTCTATTTAACTCCATCAAAAAAGTAACCTGCAGCGCCACACCTATTACCATCATTAGGGGAAAAAATGGCGATGCAATCTCCGACCCCCAGGAACAGGTTTGCAGATTTGCTGAGCATTTCTGTGAGGTCCTGGGGGAGGGAAAATCCCTCAGCCAGCAAAACATCGTTGCACAAAGTGAGGATCACCCTGCAGAGGCTGCGGTGCCTCAAATATTGGAAGAAGTCACCCCCTGTGAGTGGCTGGCTGAAGTGCCATCTGTTGAGGAAGTACTGAGGGCGATCTGGAGTCTGAGACCAGGAAAGGCAGCGGGCAGAGATGATCTCCCAAGCGAAATGCTGAGGGAGGGTGGAGTTTGTGCACAGACTGCCCTATATGACATCATAACAAGTCTGGACCACTGGACGGGTTCCGCAGGATTGGAAGGATGCCCTGGTCATCCCCCTCTTTAAGAAGGGGGACCGCACAGATTGTAACAACTACAGGGGCATTTCACTCCTCAGTGTGCCGGGAAAGGTCCTGGCAAGGATTATTCAATATCGCCTTGCCAGGCACGCTGAGGAGAGGCTTGCGGAGCCCCAATGCGGTTTCAGGAAAGGTCAGTCCTGCACAGATGCCATATTCTGTCCATCTGCTACAGCAGAAGTGTAGGGAATTCCAGCACGAACTACAACTCTGCTTTATTGACCTGGTCAAGGCCTATGATACCATCAATAGGCCTGGGCTCTGGGTTGTTCTTCGTGCTTTTGGAGTACCTGACCCTCTGCTCACGATCATCAAGGACCTTCATGATGGTGAGCGGGCCCGGGTAAAACTACGTGGCCAGGAGTCCGAGCCTTTCCCTGTACACCTTGGGGTGCGACAGGGATGTCCTCTGACTCCCACATTATTTAACATCTATTTCGACCACGTAGTTCGTGAAGCCTTCAATAGCTGTACCGGGGAATCTCCATATGGTACAGATATAATGGGAGGCTGATCGATGCCCGGGTGCGGTCAAGGGATGGCTCCCTATTGCTCAACCACGTTATGTATGCTGATGATTTGGTAATAGCTGCTCATTCAGAGGAGGAGTTGGAGACGCTGCTGCTGAGACTGGAGCGTGCCACTAAGAGATGGGGCCTTACCATCAGCCCCACCAAAACTAAGCACCTGCCTGGGTATTTTGTACCATCGGACACTCCACCCCCCACAACTCCCAATCAGTGATGGGGCAGTTGTGGAGAGAGTGGAGACTTTCCTATACCTGGGAAGTGTGCTTATGACCGGCTCCAGTTTAACAGCAGAAGTCTCACTCCGAATCAGTCAAGCGGCAATATCTTTTCATCGGTTGCGTAACACTGTGTGGAAGCTACCTGGTCTGTCGCTCCACATTAAGCTTCAGGTCTTCTCGGCCACGGTCATTCCCTCCCTTCTCTACGCTTGCGAAACGTGGACCCCCCTAATGGAACATCTTCGCCTGTTAGAAACATTTCGGCTGGCCTGCCTACGATCCATCCTGGGTTTAACCAGACTGGATTGTGTGAGGAGCTCACAAATCCTTGAAAGATCTGGGCAAGGTCCCATCGGTGAGCTCCTCCGGCGGGCAAGGCTGCGATGGCTGGGCCATGTAGCCCGCATGCCCAGCCACCGCATGCCGAAACAGCTTTTGTTCGGCTAGATCGAGGGGGCTAAACGGGCGCGGCACGGGCTAGAGAAGAGATGGAGTGATGTGGTACAGGAGGACGTGGAGCTGAGTGGACTTGCCGATGACTGGTACCAGCAGTGTCAAGATCGGCCTCTGTGGAGGAGGCTCGTGAAGGACGCGACTGGGCAGTTGGAGGTAGTCGCCCTCCAACAACAACGGAGGGTGGAGGAGCGATGCTCACAACAACGAGCGGAGCGCCGGGTGGCTAAAGCACAGCAGGTTGGCACAGTAGGGGGCACAGGTGGTGCATCAGCCAGTCATCTCAGTCAGCCGACCCGTGGCACCTGGGTCTGCCCCGTGACCTCCTGCCAGCGGGCGTTCGACACTCCACGTGGCCTCAAGGTGCACATGTCCAGGCACAAGCGTCGTGGTGACGTCACCGCCACTAAGTGGCGAATGGCGGTTCTTGTTGTTGTTGTCGTGTGTCTGTGTGTGTGGGGGGGAGTAGTAGTGTAGTGGTTAGCGCTCTGTCTGTGTGTGTGTCTGTGTGTGGAGGGGAGAGCAGTAGTGTAGTGGTTAGCTCTCTGTGTGTGTGTCTGTGTATGTGTGGGGGGAGCAGTATTGTACTGCTTAGCGCGCTGTGTGTATATGTGTATGTGTGTATCTGTGTGTGTATGTGTGTGTCTGTGTGTATGTGTGGGGGGAGCGGTAGTGTAGTCCTTAGCGCTACGAGCGCTACGAACCCGGCGACCCGAGTTCGATTCCCGCTCACGGCCACCACCGGTGACGATTATTTCAACCGGACCTGGGCCTCTCCCCTAGGTCGACTCAGCCTCAAACAATTAACTGGTGTTGTGTGAACATCGCCACTGGGGAGACAAAGCCGGCCGGGCGTGGTGAATCCAAGTCCCGGGCGAAGCCGGCTAGTACAGCTAGTACCTAATAAATGGAAACTTGAAACTTGATGTGCGCGGTGGGACGGAGGCGCCAAAAATAAAGATTTTAACTTCCGTTTATTCGGGAACCCTCGGTTCATTTACAGCAGCCAAAAAAAAACTATTTTTTTTTAAAAGGTGCTTTTATAAATTCGGAGGGAAAACCCCCAGGGGACTCTTAGGGAAATACCCAGCAGCAGCATGGGGAGAGAGACGTGCAAGCCTCCAACAACAACAAATAGCAGCAGCAGCATGGGGAGAGAGACGTGCAAGCCTCCAACAACAACAAATACCCAGCAGCATGGGGAGAGAGACGTGCAAGCCACCAACACCAACAAATACCCAGCAGCACGGTGAGAGAGACGTCCAAGCCACCAAAAACAAATACCCAGCAGCATGGGGAGAGAGACGTGCAAGCCTCCAACAACAAATACCCAGCAGCATGGGGAGAGAGACGTCCAAGCCTCCAACACCAACAACAAATACCCAGCAGCATGGGGAGACGTGCAAGCCTCCAACAACAACAAATACCCAGCAGCATGGGGAGAGAGACGTCCAAGCCTCCAACAACAACAAATACCCAGCAGCAGCAGCACGGGGAGAGAGACGTCCAAGCCTCCAACAACAACAAATACCCAGCAGCATGGGGAGAGAGACGTGCAAGCCTCCAACAACAAATACCCAGCAGCATGGGGAGAGAGACGTGCAAGCCTCCAACAAATACCCAGCAGCACTGTGAGAGAGACGTGCAAGCCACCACCAACAACAAATAGCAGCAGCATGGGGAGAGAGACGTCCAAGCCAACAACAACAAATACCCAGCAGCATGGGGAGAGAGACGTCCAAGCCTCCAACAACAACAAATACCCAGCAGCATGGGGAGAGAGACGTGCAAGCCTCCAACAACAACAAATACCCAGCAGCAGCAGCACGGTGAGAGACGTGCAAGCCTCCAACAACAACAAATACCCAGCAGCATGGGGAGACGTGCAAGCCAACAATACCTAGCAGCACGGTGAGAGAGACGTCCAAGCCACCAACAACAAATAGCAGCAGCATGGGGAGAGAGACGTCCAAGCCACCAACAACAACAAATACCCAGCAGCAGCAGCAACACGCGGTGCCAGGCTAGGTGCATCACGCTGTGTCAGGCAAGGTGCATCACGCTGTGCCAGGCTAGGTGCATCACGCTGTGTCAGGCAAGGTGCATCACGCTGTGCCAGGCTAGGTGCATCACGCGGTACCAGGCTAGGTGCATCACGCTGTGCCAGGCTAGGTGCATCACGTGGTGCCTGTGCATCACGCGGTGCCAGGCTAGGTGCATCACGCGGTGCCAGGCGAGGTGCATCACGCTGTGCCAGGCTAGGTGCATCACGCTGTGTCAGGCAAGGTGCATCACGCTGTGCCAGGCTAGGTGCATCACGCGGTGCCAGGCTAGGTGCATCACGCTGTGCCAGGCTAGGTGCATCACGTGGTGCCTGTGCATCACGCGGTGCCAGGCTAGGTGCATCACGCGGTGCCAGGCTAGGTGCATGACGCAAGGCGTCCTTTTCTTCTACGGGCGAGGCTGAGCGGAACCGGAAACCTCCCAATGGAAGAAGAGGCGGGGTTACGTTTATTGTGGCGGATTTTTTTAATAACTTTTTATTCACGTCGATTAATACACCGCCCTGCGCTTTTTGCGTTTCTATTAAAGGATTTGTGAATGTAAGAAAATAAATATTAATATTAACTAAAAGTTATTTGTTTTACTATTTGCATTGGAGCAAAGGGAAATCTGGCAGTACCGGAAGAGGCGGGGCTTACGCACTAATTTTTAGTCGCATTCTTTTTATTGATCGAAATAGCGATATGCGACTTTTGTTCAAGGCGTTTTTCGTTCCCGTGAATATTAATACGTGAACATTGTTATTAATTCGTATATTAATCATTATTACAATTATTTCGTCAGAGCCGAGCGGAAGCGGAAACTGGCCACCGCCGGAAGAGGCGGGGCTTACGCTCTGCGTATGTTTTTTAAAAAAGATGCATTTTGTTATTGTCACGCGCGGCGCTACGCGACTTTTCGCGCAAGCTATTTTTTTAAATTTCGTTTAGCGTGATAATTAATGCGTAAACAATTTCGTTAATTAATATTGCAACTTCATTATTTGCTCAGTGGAAGCCACGACCGGAACCGGAAGCGGTAAATAAATAATTAACCCCGGCGCCCAAGATGGCGACGGCCGATCGAACGCCTCCCGCCAAGAGGCGGCGCCTCGAGGCGGCGGACGACGACGAGGAGGAGAAGGAGAAGACGACGACGACGCGGGAGGCGAGCGGCGAGGAGCAGCGACTGCCGAGCGTGGCGGCTGCGGCGGCTGCCGTCGTCTCCTCGATTGGTGGGGGTCTCCTCTCTCCGTCTCGTCCCTCCCCCCCTCTCATCTCGTTGGCTTCCTCCTCATTGGTCGGCCGCTCGTCACGTGGGGCGTTCAAACCGGCCAATCGCGATGGCGGCACGCGACTTGGGTTGCGCGAAAGGAAGGGGCGGCCATGTTGGGTGAGGGTTGAAATGGCTGGCGACGTCACCTCTAGTGGAGTAATCCGATGAGCTGTAAAGCTCTTTTCCTCGCAGATGTTCACGGACATTTTTCGATTTTAAGCTTTCGTGACTGCAGGGATTCATCTTCTTGGTTCTTTTGGTAAAGTCACCACGTAGAATGGAAATAAAATAATAAAAATAAAACAGAATTATTTTATAAAATAAATGAAGCATTATTATTTTATTATTTTTCATAATTGATAACATAATTATTTTATTATGTTTATAAAATAATAAAAATAAAATGTTTTATAAATGAATAAAGCGTAATTATTTAATTATTGTTAACAAGATAATAAAATAATCATAAATTAATTGTTTTTATAAGATACTAAAAACATTTTATTATGTTTTATAAAATAATAAAAATGAAACAATTATTTTATTATGTTTTATAAAATAAAAAAATAAAGCATAATTTTTTTGTTATATTTAATTACGTTTATTTTTATTTTATTTCAATTCTACGTGGCGACTTTACCGAGAGAACCAAGAATATTATCCGGACAGTTAGGGGCACACCGTGGTCAGACATTTACAACAACAAGCAATAGTGAACAAACAGGATAGGGGGCGCAAAGTAGAGTACAAGGTAAACAAATCACTAAAAATAAATACGTATAATAGATAAAGTGTATATGCGCAAATTGCATAAGGGGCCGACCATAAATGACGTCACGCACCTGGGGAGGGGGGGTGAGAAATGTGACGTCACATCAAAATGCGCCAACTTTATAAATAAATACAGACAACACGTTTCTAATTAATTAAATAGACTTCTTAATAAATGTGCTCTCCTACAACATCAGAGTGCAGCGCCACATTAAATACGCAACTACAATGTGACGATAGTTTTCAAGCGATTTGAAGCATATTCTTGGTTCTTTCGGTAAAGTCACGTAGAAGGGAAACAATAAAATAATAAAAAATAAAATATAAAACAATAAAATTCTCACGACGTTTCGACTGTTTTATATATTTATTATATTCTTAGCTCTTTTGGTAAAGTCACGTTGAAGGGAAACAATAAAATAATAAAATATATATTATTATTATAAATATATATTTTACTGTAATAAAATATATTATAATAAGATATATATTTTATTATTTTATTGTTTCCCTTCAACGTGACTTTACCGAAAGAACCAAGAATATGAATCTCTGCAGTCACGAAAGCTTTAAATCAAAATTCGATTTGAAGCGTCTTTTATTTTTTTGGGGCGGGCGCACAGCTTCGTGACGTCATGTTTGAGAGGGGGGGGGTTGACTTTTTGTGACGTCATGTGACGAAAGGGGGGGTCAAAAATCGCGTGACGTCATTTATGCACGGCCCTCAACGCACGGTGATGTTGATTCTAAATGTGGACGAGAAAAACTGCAGAACCACGGAGAAAAAAACGACGCAGTGACCACCACACAGAGAGAGAGACCACTCAGTGACCACCACAGAGAGAGAGAGAGACCACTCAGTGACCACCACAGAGAGAGAGAGAGACCACTCAGTGACCACCACAGAGAGAGAGACCACTCAGTGACCACCACAGAGAGAGACCACTCAGTGACCACCACAGAGAGAGAGAGACCACTCAGTGACCACCACAGAGAGAGAGACCACTCAGTGACCACCACAGAGAGAGAGAGAGACCACTCAGTGACCACCACAGAGAGAGACCACTCAGTGACCACCACAGAGAGAGAGAGACCACTCAGTGACCACCACAGAGACCACTCAGTGACCACCACAGAGAGAGACCACTCAGTGACCACCACAGAGACCACTCAGTGACCACCACAGAGAGAGAGAGACCACTCAGTGACCACCACAGAGAGAGACCACTCAGTGACCACCACAGAGAGAGACCACTCAGTGACCACCACAGAGAGAGAGAGACCACTCAGTGACCACCACACAGAGAGAGAGACCACTCAGTGACCACCACAGAGAGAGAGAGACCACTCAGTGACCACCACAGAGACCACTCAGTGACCACCACAGAGAGAGACCACTCAGTGACCACCACAGAGAGAGAGAGACCACTCAGTGACCACCACAGAGAGAGAGACCACTCAGTGACCACCACAGAGAGAGACCACTCAGTGACCACCACAGAGAGAGAGACCACTCAGTGACCACTACAGAGACCACTCAGTGTCCACCACAGAGAGAGAGAGACCACTCAGTGACCACCACAGATACCACTCAGTGACCACCACAGAGAGAGAGACCACTCAGTGACCACCACAGAGACCACTCAGTGACCACCACAGAGACCACTCAGTGACCACCACAGAGAGAGACCACTCAGTGACCACCACAGAGACCACTCGGTGACCACCACAGAGAGAGGAGGAGCACTCAGTGACCACCACAGAGACCACTCAGTGACCACCACAGAGAGAGAGACCACTCAGTGACCACCACAGAGACTACTCAGTGACCACCACAGAGAGAGACCACTCAGTGACCACCACAGAGACCACTCAGTGACCACCACAGAAACCACTCAGTGACCACCACAGAGAGAGAGACCACTCAGTGACCACCACAGAGAGAGAGACCACTCAGTGACCACCACAGCGACCACTCAGTGACCACCACAGAGACCACTCAGTGACCACCACAGCGACCACTCAGTGACCACCACAGAGACCACTCAGTGACCACCACAGAGAGAGACCACTCAGTGACCACCACAGAGAGACCACTCAGTGACCACCACAGAGAGAGAGAGAGACCACTCAGTGACCACCACAGAGACCACTCAGTGACCACCACAGAGACCACTCAGTGACCACCACAGAGACCACTCAGTGGCCACCACAGAGACCACTCAGTGGCCACCACAGAGACCATTCAGTGACCACCACAGAGACCACTCAGTGACCACCACAGAGACCACTCAGTGACCACCACAGAGACCACTCAGTGACCACCACAGAGACCACTCAGTGACCACCACAGAGAGAGAGAGACCACTCAGTGACCACCACAGAGAGAGAGAGACCACTCAGTGACGACCACAGAGAGAGAGACCACTCAGTGACCACCACAGAGAGAGAGAGACCACTCAGTGACCACCACAGAGAGAGAGACCACTCAGTGACCACCACAGAGACCACTCAGTGACCACCACAGAGACCACTCAGTGACCACTACAGAGACCACTCAGTGACCACCACAGAGACCACTCAGTGACCACCACAGAGACTACTCAGTGACCACCACAGACAGAGACCACTCAGTGACCACCACAGAGACTACTCAGTGACCACCACAGAGACCACTCAGTGACCACCACAGAGAGAGAGAGACCACTCAGTGACCACCACAGAGACCACTCAGTGACCACCACAGAGAGAGAGACAGAGACACGGACTCCAACTATACAGCAGCAGCAGGCATCGTCAGGGTCGGACCCGAACCCACGACCTCTTGCGTACCAGGCGAGGTTGTTAACGTCTCTGAGCCACCGTAGTGCCCCATCCAAGAGGTCCCTGGACGCCAGCTTCTTTTCGCAGTAGCTGCGACTAACTCAGTGGGCTTCACCCCGTGTCTCCCCCTCCTCCCCCTGCATCTCCTCCTCCCCACGTGTCCAGCTTGTCCAGAGAACTCTGTCCCCGGTGTCTCTGCGAGACACGTGAAGAACGAGGAGAGACAGAGACATGGGGATGGTGGAGACGGTGCTGGTGGACGAGGTGGACCTGAAGGAGGAGGCGACGATGGTGGAGGAGGAGGAAGTGGACCTGGAGGAGGAGACGATGGTGGAGGAGGAGGAGGTGGACCTGGAGGAGGAGACGATGGTGGTGGAGGAGGTGGAGCTGTAAAAGTTGTACCTGGTGGAGGCGGACCTGAAGGAGAAGACGGTGGAGGTGGTGGACCTGGAGGAGTTGGAGGAGGAGGTGGTGGTGGAGCGCCTGGGAAAGTTGGACCTGGCGGAGCTGGGCCACTGCCTCTGTGTGCCGCCGCCGCAGCTGCTTCCCCAGCCACCGCCGCCGCCGCCGCCGCCTCCTCCTCCTCATCGCTGTGGCAGAGGCTGCTGCTGCTGCGGCTTCTGTCCGAGTCGGAGGCGGCCTCCCGCAGGCGCCGGCGGAAGGAGGTGGCGCTGATGAGGAGGACGAGGAGGAGGACGAGGAGGAGGATAGCGGACGGGGGGGGCATCGACGCTGTCGTCGCGCTGCTGAGGAACGCCAAGAGGGTCGTGGTGCTCACGGGAGCCGGGGTGAGGGATGGAGAGACAGAGTGGTGGAGAGAGATGGGGGGAGAGAGATGGGGAAGCAGATGGGGAGAGAGGAAGTGATGGAGAGAGCTTGGGGGATGTGGATGGATGGAGAGATAGGGAGACATGATGAGATGATAAGAGATGGAGAGAGATGGGGAGATGTGGATGGAGAGAGCTTGGGGGGATGTGGATGGATAGATGTGGAGAGAGATGGGGAAGGAGATGGGGAGGGAGATGGGGAAGGAGATGGGGAGAGAGATAGGGAGAACATTAGAGATGATAAGAGATGGAGAGAGATGGGGAGATGTGGATGTAGAGAGCTTGGTGGATGTATAGAGAGATGTGGAGAGAAATGGGGAGAGAGATGGGGAGAGATGGGGAGAGAGATGGGGAAGGAGATGGGGAAGGAGATGGGGAGAGATGGGGAGAGATGGGGAGAGAGCTTTGGGGATGTGGATGGATGGAGAGATGGGGAGAGAGATGGGGAATGAGATGGAGATGGGGTGAGATGAGAGAGGAAGTGATGGAAAGAGCTTTGGGGATGTGGATGGATGGAGAGAGATGGAGACATGATGAGATGATAAGAGATGGAGACAGATGGGGAGATGTGGATGGAGAGAGCTTGGGGGATGTGGATGGATAGAGAGATGTGGAGAGAGATGTGGAGAGAGATGGGGAGAGAGATGGGGAAGGAGATGGAGAGAGATGAGGAGAGAGTTGTGGTGCTCACGGGAGCTGGGGTCAGTGGTGGAGATCGGGAGAGATGGAGGGAGAGATGGGGGTGGGGGCGGGGGAGAGAAAGATGGGGGAGACGGGGAGAGAGAGAGAGAGATGGGGAGAAATTGGAGAAGGAGATGGGGAGATTGATGATGATTTTTCCCTGGGATCCTTGGGTTTTTGCCTCCGCATGTCCAAGTTTAGTTTGTAGAGCGCTGTCCTAAATGCGCGTTTTCTGGCATGCAGTTGAGGCACATCTACAATTAATCTTTGAGCTACGGGTAGCAGGTGGGAGACCTTATTAAAGGAATCGTATCGGGAAATTGTAGAATAACTGCAGACTGGAAGAAGAGAATGAACAGAATACGGGAGGTGCCATTGTTCGAGACCGTGTTAGGGGTGTGTGGTGTTGTGTTGTTGTGTTGTGTGTGGTGTGTGACGGCTGAAGTGGCAGGGGCGGTGAGATTGATGGCTTTCTGGGCGGCCACCGAACAAAGGCGGTGGTCACGGCATCGTAATCATCGCGCGGCGCTTGCAAATTAACTTCTGCGGACGTCTGGATCGCTTATCCCTTCCGATAATAGGAAGCCACTGCTTGCACTTTTAAATCGTCACCTCGATTGACGGACGAATTTCTTTAGAACTGCTGTTTGTTGTTCAGATTGTTGTACTTCCCTCTGCACCTCGGATTAGCACGGTTGGCTACGTACGGTGTGAAAGACGTTCTACATACACACACATTACTATACAGAACAATATACACTAGTATACACTACACTACTATACAGAACAATATACACTAGTATACACTACACTACTATACAGAACAATATACACTAGTATACACTACACTACTATCTACCCGCACTACTATAGAGTACACTACTATACACTACACTACTATACACTACACTACTATACAGAACAATATACACTAGTATACACTACACTACTATCTACCTGCACTACTATAGAGTACACTACTATACACCACGAAACACTACACTACTATACACTACACTACTGTACACTACACTATACACTGCACTATACACTGCACTACTATACACTACACTACTATACACTACACTATACACTACACTACTATACACTGCACTATACACTACACTACTATACACTACACGACGAAACACTACACTACTATACACTACACAACTATACACTACACTAATATACACTACACTATACACTACACTACTATACACTACACTATACACTACACTACTATACACTACACTACTATACACTACACTATACACTACACTACTACACACTACACTACTATACACTACACTACTATACACTACACTACTATACACTACACTATACACTACACTACTATACACTACACTACTATACACTACACTACTATACATTACACTACTATAGACTGCACTATACACTACACTACTATACACTACACAACTATACACTACACTACTATACACTACACTACTATACACCACTACTATACACTACATTACTATACACTACACTACTGTACACTGCATTACAGTACACTACACTATTATACACTACACGAATATACACTACACTATATACTACACTATATACTATACTACTATACACTACACACGACACTATAAACTACACTATACACTACACTACTATACACTACACTATACACTACACTATACACTACTATACACTACCTCTGATTAGCATAGTTGGCAACTTCGACATACAGACTGCTGAGCAGCAATAAACTCTCCCTCCCTCCCCCCTCTCTCCCTCCTGCCCCACAACCCTCCCCAGGTCTCAGTCTCGTGTGGCATCCCGGATTTCCGGTCTCCCGGCTCCGGCCTCTTCTCCCGGATTCACGCCGAGTTCCCCGACCTGCGTGACCCCCAGGCTCTCTTCGACCTCCAGCACTTCACCTCCGATCCACGACCTTTCTACAAGTTTGCCAGGGTCAGAATTCACGGGGGAGCGGTGGCGCTAACTGCGTGTGGAAGTCTCTGTGTGAGAGGGATGGAGTGAGCGTGTCAGTGAGTGTTTTAGCACTTCAGTTGATTCTCACCATGCCTCTCTCTCTCTCTCTCCCCGTGTCTCACTGTTTCTCTCAGTCTCCCTGTCTCTCCCCCCACATGTCTCTCTCCCTATCTCTCTCCCCGTGTTTCTCTCTCTCTCTCCCCATGTCTCCTTGTGTCTCTCCCCCAACGTGTCTCACCCCGTGTATCTCCAGCCATGTCTCTCTCCGCGTCTCTGTCTTCGTGTCTCTCTCTCCCCGTGTGACTCCCCCCGTGTCTCTCTCTCCCCATGTCTTGCTCATTGTCTTTTTCTCTCCCTGTGTGTCGTTCCTCACACGTGTCTCTCTTTCTTTCTCTCACAGGAGATGTTTCCCGGGCGCTTCTCTCCCTCCCTGAGTCACCGTTTCGTCGCACAATTGGAGAAAGAGGGGCAACTGCTCAGGAACTACAGCCAGAACATCGACGGCCTGGAGACGCAGGCCGGGGTGACGCGGGTGATTCAGTGCCATGGTGAGAGACGCAGAGAGACAGGGAGAGAGAGACACGGGGGGGGAGAGAGACACGGGGAGAGAGAGAGTGACACAGGGAGAGAGACACGGAGGGGATAGAGACACGGGGAGAGAGAGACACGGGGAGAGAGACATGGAGAGAGAGAGACACGGGGAGAGAGACATGGGGAGAGAGAGACATGGGGAGAGAGAGACACGGGGAGAGAGACACGGAGGGGAGAGAGACACGGGGAGAGAGACACGGGGAGAGAGACATGGAGAGAGAGAGACACGGGGAGAGAGACATGGGGAGAGAGAGACATGGGGAGAGAGAGACACGGGGAGAGAGACACGGGGAGAGAGAGACACGGGGAGAGAGACACGGAGAGAGAGACACGGGAGAGAGAGACACGGGGAGAGAGACACGGGGAGAGAGACATGGGGAGACAGAGTTATGGAGAGAGAGACACGTAGAGGGAGACACGGGCACACAGGGAGAGATACATGAGGACATAGGGAGAGGGACATGGAGAGAGATACACGGGGAGAAATAAACACGGTGACATGGGGCGATTGGAGGAAAGGCTAACTTTGTGTTTTACTGTCTCTCCGTGTCTCCCCGTGTCTCCATGTCTTCCCGTGTCTCCATGTCTCCCCGTGTGTCTCTGTGTCTCCCCGTGTCCGTGTGTCTCCCCATGTCTCCCCGTGTCTCCCCGTGTCTCCGTGTCTCCCCGTGTCTCCATGTCTCCCCGTGTCTCCGTGTTTCCCCGTGTCTCGATGTCTCCCCGTGTCTCCATGTCTCCCCGTGTGTCTCTGTGTCTCCCCGTGTCCGTGTGTCTCCCCATGTCTCCCCGTGTCTCCCCGTGTCTCCCCGTGTCTCCCCGTGTCTCCATGTCTCCCCGTGTCTCCGTGTCTCCCCGTGTCTCCATGTCTCCCGGCGTCTCCCCCGTGTGCCTCAGGCTCGTTTGACTGGGCCTCGTGTCTGGTTTGTGGACACAAAGTGTCTAGCGACGACATCCGCGACGACGTGGAGAGACAGGTGGGGGGGGGGGGGGGGTGGGACAAGGGGGGGGGGTTTGGGGGGGGGACACTGGGGGTAGTTGGGGGGGGGTACGGAGGGGAGTCGCTGCGATTAACTCGTCACGATAATTAACGATTCAGGCAGTCCCTGCTGTATTTACGACTCCACTCCACTCAGTCACCAGAAGCCCCTCATCCTGCAGACCCCCTCCCCCCCACATCCCCCAAACCTCCCCACCCCCCAGACTCCCATCCCCCATCACTCATTCATCCACGCACGGTCAGCGAAGGAGCGTTGGGGCCAAACGTGTGACCTCTTGCGACAGCGTTCTATTGACTATGAACTATTTTTATTTTATTTTACAAAGGTAAGGAAGGCCCCACTGAAATGACGGCTCAAACAAGTGGCTGATATCATCATCATCATCATCATGTGGAAATTTATTGCAGTAGCCCAACACTTTAAACACGTAGGGACATTGATTCTAAATGTCTCCCCATGCCCCCCCCCCCACTCCATGTCTGTGTCCCCCCCTCCTCTCCACTCCGTGTCTCTGTCTCCCCCCCCCCCCCCACTCCGTATCTCTGTCTCTCCACGCGCTCCCCCACTCCGTGAGGTCTCTGTCTCCCCACTCCGTGTCTCTGTCTCCCCACTCCGTGTCTCTGTCTCCCCACTCCGTGAGGTCTCTGTCTCCCCACTCCGTGTCTCTGTCTCCCCACTCCATGTCTTTGTCTCCCCACTCCGTGCCTCTGTCTCCCCACTCGGTGCCTCTGTCTCCCCACGTGCCCCCCACTGCTCCGTGTCTCCTCAGCGGGTCCCGCTGTGCCCCGTGTGCCCCCCGTCCGAGCGGGGGGCCGTGCTCAAGCCCGGGGTGATTTTCTTCGGGGAAAATCTGCCCCCCCAATTTCACCGAGCAGTTCGGAGCGACCGCGAGAGCGGCGCCGATCTCCTGCTGACAATGGGCTCCTCACTGAGAGTGAGGCCTGTGGCTCTCATACCCAGTGAGGCTTGCACAGAGACTCACTCACACAGAGACTCTCACAGATACAGACTTGCTCAGAGACTCACTCAGTCACGCAGAGACTCTCACAGATACAGATTCGCTCAGAGGACTCACTCAGAGATTCACTCAGTCACACAGAGACTCTCACAGATACAGACTCGCTCAGAGACTCACTCAGAGACTCACTCACACAGAGACTCTCACAGATACAGACTCGCTCAGAGACTCACTCAGAGACTCACTCACACAGAGACTCTCACAGATACAGACTCGCTCAGAGACTCACTCACACAGAGAATCTCACAGATACAGACTTGCTCAGAGACTCACTCAGTCACGCAGAGACTCTCACAGATACAGATTCGCTCAGAGGACTCACTCAGAGATTCACTCAGTCACACAGAGACTCTCACAGATACAGACTCGCTCAGAGACTCACTCAGAGACTCACTCACACAGAGACTCTCACAGATACAGACTCGCTCAGAGACTCACTCAGAGACTCACTCACACAGAAACTCTCACAGATACAGACTCGTTCAGAGACTCACTCAGAGACTCACTCACACAGAGACTCTCACAGATACAGACTTGCTCAGAGACTCACTCAGTCACGCAGAGACTCTCACAGATACAGATTCGCTCAGAGGACTCACTCAGAGATTCACTCAGTCACACAGAGACTCTCACAGATACAGACTCGCTCAGAGACTCACACAGAGACTCACACAGAGACTCTCACAGATACAGACTCGCTCAGAGACTCACTCAGAGACTCACACAGAGACTCTCACAGATACAGACTCGCTCAGAGACTCACTCACACGGAGACTCTCACAGATACAGACTCGCTCAGAGACTCACTCACAGAGACTCTCACAGATACAGACTCGCTCAGAGACTCACTCACACAGAGACTCTCACAGATACAGATTTGCTCAGAGACTCACTCAGTCACGCAGAGACTCTCACAGATACAGATTCGCTCAGAGACTCACTCAGAGATTCACTCAGTCACACAGAGACTCTCACAGATACAGACTCGCTCAGAGACTCACACAGAGACCCACTCACACAGAGACTCTCAAAGATACAGATTCGCTCAGAGACTCACTCAGACAGAGACTCACACAGAGACTCACTCAGAGACTCACTCAGAGACTCACTCAGTCACGGAGAGACTCACAGAGACTCACTCAGAGACTCACTTAGACAGACTCACACAGAGACTCAGAGACTCAGACAGAAACTCACACAGAGACTCACTCAGACAGAGACTCACTCAGACAGAGACTCACTCAGACAGAGACTCACACAGAGACTCACTCAGAGACTCACTCAGAGACTCACTCAGTCACGGAGAGACTCACACAGAGACTCACTCAGAGACTCACTTAGACAGAGACTCACACAGACTCAGACAGAAACTCACACAGAGACTCACTCAGACAGAGACTCACTCACACAGAGACTCACTCACACAGAGACTCACTCAGAGACTCACTCAGTCACGGAGAGACTCACTCAGACAGAAACTCACACAGACTCACTCAGTCACGGAGAGACTCAGACAGATACTCACTCAGAGACTCACTCAGACAGAGACTCACTCAGGCAGAGACTCACTCACACAGAGACTCACACAGAGACTCACTCACACAGAGACTCACTCAGAGACTCACTCAGAGACTCAGACAGAGACTCACTCACACAGAGACTCAGACAGAAACTCACACAGAGACTCGCTCAGAGACTCAATCACAGACTCACTCAGTCACGGAGAGACTCACTCAGACAGAAACTCACACAGACTCACTCAGTCACGGAGAGACTCACACAGAGACTCACTCATACAGAGACTCACTCACACAGAGACTGACTCACACTGAGACTGACTCAGTCACGGAGAGACTCAGACAGACACTCACTCAGAGACTCATTCACACAGAGACTCACTCACACAGAGACTCACTCAGAGACTCACTCAGTCACGGAGAGACTCACTCAGACAAAAACTCACACAGAGACTCACTCAGTCACGGAGAGACTCAGACAGAAACTCACTCAGAGACTCAGACAGAAACTCACACAGAGACTCTTCCCCTTCTCCACCCCCCCACCCCCCCCCACCACACCGGTTCCAGGCTGGCTGGCCCCCTGCGTCCCCCGCGTGCTCATTAACCGCGAGCCTCTCCCCCACTTCGGGGTCACCCCCTTCGACGTGGAGCTGCTGGGAGACTGCGACGCCGTGGTGGGGGAGCTCTGCCTGCGTCTGGGGGGTGCCTGGGCCCGGCTCTGCCCGCCCGGGGCGCAGACGCTGTGGCAACGGACGCACGCGGGTGGGGGCAAGCGGGGCAAAGAGGCGCGGGTGGGGGCAGGGCGGGCGAGGGGGGCGGCCGTGGGAGAAGCGGCGGAAGCAGTGGGAGTGGCGGCAGAATTGCGGGGAGGAGACGCGAGGCGGGGTGGAGAAGCGCAGGGAGAAGCGCGGGGAGCAGAAGCGCAGGGGGAAGCGACGGAATCGCGGGGAGCAGAAGCGAGGGAATCGAATGGAGAAGCGAGGGATGCAACGGGAGACGCACGGGGAGGAGAAGCGGTGGAAGCGAGCGGTGAAACTCGAGGCTCAATGGAAGGAGCGACGGAAGCGAGGGGAGACGCGAGAGAATCGAGGGCAGAAGCGACAGAATCGAGGGCAGAAGCGACAGAATCAAGGGCAGAAGCAAGAGAATCAAGGGCAGAAGTTACAGAGTCAGGGGCAGAAGCGACAGAATCAAGGGCAGAAGCGACAGAATCAAGGGCAGAAGCGACAGAATCAAGGGCAGAAGCGACAGAATCAGGGGCAGAAGCGACAGAATCAAGGGCAGAAGCAACAGAATCCATGGCAGAAGCGACAGGATCAGGGGGAGAGGCGAGGACAGAAGAAGCCGGCACAAGGGGAGCAGCAGTGCAAGCGTACCGAGACGCGAGAGAAGCGAGAGGATTGGCAGGAGCGAAGGGGAATGCGAGAGGGGGAGCAACAGAGGCGTGGCGAGATGCCGTAGGCACACGGAGGGAAGCAATGGAAGCAGAGGGAGCAGTGCGTAGGGAAGCGATTGAAGCGTACAGAGAAGCCAGGGACGCCAGGGAAGCGATGGCAGCACGGAGGAGGGAGGGGGGAGGAATTGGACGAGCAGGAGACACAACGGGAGGATCAGTGACGGGAGAAGCAGGGGGAGAAGCTGGAGAAGCAGGAGAAGCGAGGGGAGAAGCAGGGGGAGAAGCGAGGGGAGAAGCAGGAGAAGCGAGGGGAGAAGCAGGGGGAGAAGCAGGAGAAGCAGTAGAAGCGAGGGGAGAAGCAGTAGAAGCAGTAGAAGCAGGAGAAGCGAGGGGAGAAGCAGGGGGAGAAGCGAGGGGAGAAGCGAGGGGAGAAGCGAGGGGAGAAGCGAGGGGAGAAGCAGTAGAAGCGAGGGGAGAAGCAGTAGAAGCAGTAGAAGCGAGGGGAGAAGCAGGGGGAGAAGCGAGGGGAGAAGCAGGAGAAGCAGTAGAAGCGAGGGGAGAAGCAGTAGAAGCAGTAGAAGCGAGGGGAGAAGCAGGGGGAGAAGCAGGGGGAGAAGCAGGAGAAGCGAGGGGAGAAGCAGGGGGAGAAGCAGGGGGAGAAGCGAGGGCGGTGAAGGCCGCAAGGGGTGCGATGTTGGAAGCGGCGAGGGAAGCGACGGAGGAAGCGATGGCCGAGGCCGGGGCGAGGGAAGCGGCGGCCATGATGAGCCGGAGACGGAGGAGGAGGAGGAGGAGGAGAAGGAGGAGTGGGGGCGGTGCTGCCGCCCCGGTGCATTGTGGGAAGAGGGGGCAAGTGTCAGAGGCTCACGGGAAGGGGGCGGCCGTGCTGGGAGGAGGGGGGCGCCCCCAGCCCGCTGCATTCTGGGAGGCCGATACGAGAGAGCCAATCGGCAAGCGGCTCAAAGGTACCGTCATCGACACGGTCCACCACGGTCTGATTTTGGCGTGTCTGAGTTTGCCGGTCGGTGGTGCTGTGGTGGGTGGTGGTGATGGTGACGCTATGGTGGTCGAATTCGAACCGCGTTGTGCGCTCGCTGAAGGTGTTGATGCCTTCAGGGAAGTCGTGTGGACTGTATGCGCGACTGCGCGCAATTCTGTGAGTCGCTTATAACTGTTTTGCCATTACTTATTGCCAGTTATGGACTCGGACCATTGTCCTATCATCTCACAGAGTCCCTGGCACGTAATAATATGCTACGCAGTGGCAGTGGGGGGTCGCAAAATGCCGATTTATTACTAATAAACCCCAATGATCCGATCGAAATTAGGGATTTCGATCGGATCATTGGGGGGGGGGGGGAGGGGGGGCACGTGCCACCCCACCCTCCCCACTGGTTCTACCAGTGGGTGAGCCAGGGATGTCCTCTGGCTCCTACATTATTTTTATATTTGTTTCGACCACGTGGTTGGAAGAGTTTTCTATGGCTGCGCCCGGAGGAATTTCTATCTGCTACAGATACAATGGGAGGCTGATCGATGCCCGGGTCCGGTCACTGGGTGGCTCCCTATTCGTCAACCACGTTACGTATGCCGTTGATCTGGCGATTGCTGTTCGCTCGGAGGGAGGAGTTGCTGCTGAACCCAGAGCGTGCCACTACGAGGTGGAGCCTCGCGACCATTGAGCCCGCCAAAAACTAAGCTCCTGCCTGGGTAATTTTTGTCATGAAACACTTCACCCGCTAAATTCCCCATGCGCGATGGGGGCAGTTGTGGAGAGAGTCACGGGGTTTCCGTACCTGGGCAGTGTGTTTATGACCAGCTCCGTTTTGTCAGCGGAGGTCTGACTCCGGATCAGCTGGGCGGCATTGTCTTTTTATTTAGCTCCGTAATGCTCCGTGGAGACTACCCGGTCTGTCGCTGCACACGAAGCTCTGGATTTTATTGGCCTCAGTTACGCCCTCCCTTCTCTATGCTTGCAATATGTGGACCTCTCTGAAGGAGAAACATACAGCCTGGCCTGCCTCTGATCCATCCTGGGTTTGATGCTGATTACGATTGTGGTTATGTTGCCGATAATTGTGGCGGTGGTGGCGATGATGATGGTGATGGTGATGTGCATGATGTGATGATGGGGGGAGCGGTAGTGTATCGGTTGGCGCTACGCTGCACTACGAACCCGGCAACCCGAGTTTGATTCCCGCTCACGGTCCTGGGCCTCCCCCAGGTGGAATCGGCCTCAAATGAGCACCTGGTGTGGTGTGTGAACATCACAACTGGGGAGTTAGAGGTGGCTGGGTGTGGTACTGGCAATCCAACCCCCATCGTGCATATGCCACAGTTCCGGCCTTCAATACGTGCTACTCGCTAACGGCACTTGCCCCCCTTACAGTCTGTTAATGGGATCTTTGATGTGATATGATGGTGGTGGTGGTGGTGATGATTGCTTTAGCAGTGCCACCTCTTTAACATCACCTCCCCTCTTCACTCCACCTTTTCACCCCCCTCTTCCCCACACACAGAAGACGAGTTCCTCTTCATCCCTCCGAGCCGCTTCATCTTCCACGGTGCTCAGGTTTACGACGAAGACGTTGAGAACCCAGCCACATCGTCGTCATCGTCGTCGTCGTCGTCGTCACGATCATCGTCACCATCGTCTTCATCAACATCTTCCTCTCCATCTTCATCATCGCCGTCATCGCGATCGTCGTCATCGCCATGCTCAACCTCTCCAGCGTCACCGCAGGCTGACATTGATGAGGTGGACCTGAGCAACTACATCTTCTCCTTGGACGAAGAGGTGGACGGGGACGACGACGAGGAGGGGAGTGGTGGTGAAGGTGGCAGTGATGATGAGGGGCAGGAGAGGGATCCCGAGCATCGTCCCGAAGATAACGGAGCCGCCGGTGGTGGTGGTGGTGGTGGTGATGACGACGCTTGGGTGGTTTGACCTTGAATTGACAAGGTGGACGAGGTGGTTGGTGTGTGGGGAGGTGGAGGGGTGGGTGGGGAGGTGGAGGGGTGAGTGGGGAGGTGGAGGGGTGGGTGGGGTTGGTGGAGGGGTGGGTGGGGTTGGTGGAGGGGTGGCTGGGGTTGGTGGAGGGGTGGGTGGGGTTGGTGGAGGGGTGGGTGGCGTTGGTGGAGGGGTGGGTGGGGAGGTGGAGGGGTGAGTGGGGAGGTGGAGGGGTGGGTGGGGTTGGTGGAGGGGTGGGTGGCGTTGGTGGAGGGGTGGGTGGGGAGGTGGAGGGGTGAGTGGGGAGGTGGAGGGGTGGGTGGGGTTGGTGGAGGGGTGGGTGGGGAGGTGGAGGGGTGTGTGGGGAGGTGGAGGGGTGGGTGGGGAGGTGGAGGGGTGGGTGGAGGGGTGAGTGGGGAGGTGGAGGGGTGGGTGGGGTTGGTGGAGGGGTGGCTGGGGTTGGTGGAGGGGTGGCTGGAGTTGGTGGAGGGGTGAGTGGGGAGGTGGAGGGGTGGGTGGGGTTGGTGGAGGGGTGGGTGGGGTTGGTGGAGGGGTGGGTGGGGTTGGTGGAGGGGTGGGTGGCGTTGGTGGAGGGGTGGGTGGGGTTGGTGGAGGGGTGGGTGGGGTTGGTGGAGGGGTGAGTGGAGGGGTGAGTGGGGAGGTGGAGGGGTGGGTGGGGTTGGTGGAGGGGGGGTGTAGGCAGTTTTTTTTTGGCAGATTCACGATGGAGCCACCATCCTTTCCATCACAAATACTACCGGCGAGACGGAAGGGGAGCCCGTGTCGCCTGGAAAACACTCTAAATGCGAGCGCCTATGAAGGCTGGCACTGTGCACACGAGGGGGTGAGTGGCCAGCACCACGCCCGGCCGCCTTTGTCTCCCTAGTGCCGATGTTTTCGCACTGGACCAGGCACTCATTTTGAGGCCCGGTCGACACAGGGGAGGCCCATGGCCGTTTCAGATCGTCGCGATCACTGGCGTTGGTGGCCGGGTTCGTAGTGCGGTGCGTTTACCGCTCTACCGCCATCACCAAAACCATTTGCCGTAATCATCGTCGTCGTCACCACGGTCACCACCGCGCGGAGTGTACGAGGTGACGCCGCATTCTGCCAGCAGTGTTTATTTTTGTACAATCGGCAAAAAAATCGCGATCTAATAAAAACAAAAACTCCACCCTGAACGCTGCTCCACCTCTGTGTTGTCCACCTCCAATGTCGTCACTCAGCCACCGAGTGCTCAGAGAGTCTATGCGAGTCTGTGGGTCTCTATGAGCGTCTATGGGTCTCTGTGAGTCTGTATGTCTCTTGATTCTGTAAGTCTCTCTGAGTATGTTTCTCTGAGACCATATGGGTCTCTTGAGTCTGAGAGTCTGTAGGTCAGATTATATGGGTTTCTAAGCGAGTTAATGGGTCTCTGAGAGTCTGTCTCTATGGGTCTCTCTGCGACTTGGTCTCTGTGAGTCTATGGGTCTCTGCGAGTATGTAGGTTTCTCTGATTATATCGGAGTCTGGGTCTCTGGGTATGTCTGCGACTCTGTGGGTCTCTATGTCAGTCTGGGTCTCTTGAGAGTTTTAGGGGGTCAGGGTTGGATGTAGGGGGTCAGGGTGTTTAGCATCAGGAACTCAACCAATACAATTCCTTGCCATCACCACACGTGCACAGAGATACAGACAAAGACCCCCCCCCCTAATAGACACTTGGCGCAAGTTCTGTTAGCGAGCAACTATGAAGGCACACGAGGGGTTGGAGGGACTACACCACGCCCGGCCGCCTTTGTCTCCTCAGTGGTGAATGTTTACACACCACACCCAGTACTCATTTGAGACTGAGTCGACTTAGGGGAGACCCATGATCAGTTCAGATAATCGCTATCACTGGTGTTGGTGGCCGCGAGCAGGAATCGAACTTGGGCCTCTGGTTACGCAGCGCTAACCCGCGGCACGATCGATTCGCACGGACGCAACAGCAACAACAACCGCCGTTGGCCACTAGGCGGCGGTGATTGTCACCACGGCACCTGTGCCATGCCATGTGCACTTTTAAGGCCACGTGAATTGTCGAAGGCCCGCTGGCAACTTGCTGTGTTCCGACGGACGTATGCACGCGCATAAAAGGTAACCCCCCCCCCCAGGTAGCCCACACAGGCTGTTGGGGGGGGGGGGGGGGGGAGGGTAAGTGCCATTCTTAGGGTGCGCAAATTTCATAAACGGCTCCAGAGCCTGTCCCTTGACCCCCCTTGTCGTCGCGACCCCCGTGGGGTTGTGGAGGAAAGAGCGCGCTCTTCGGACGCCTGGGCCCAGCGGCCGAGGGGCCTTGATTCGGGATTTTGCAACCCGGAGACCCAGGGCCTTGGCCCTCACGAGATGGACCTCCAAAGCCTGCAGCTTCTGCGCCCGGACCTCGGGACGGAGGCGGATGAGAACCTGGGGATCTGTGACCTTGAGCTGCAGGAGATGGATCCCTCAATCCTGGAGGACCCCCATGTTGCGGTGGAAGTCGGAGTTCCGGCGCTCCCGATCCCAGAGGTCTGGAAGCCGAATCTGCGACCTGTCGAAGCCCGTGGCCTGGAGCCCTCGCCGGCGGAGGGGGCTGGGACTTCGAGGCCGCGGGTCCCAGAGGTTGATCAGCCTCAGGCTTGGGTGGACGTTGCGGCGGCTGCGGCTGCGGCTGCGGCTGCAATCCTGTGCTGTGGTCGTGTTGCTTGACTCGGGGTGCTGCCACCGGTTGGAAGCCCTGGGGGGAGGATGAGGAGGTTGCAGGCCTCACGCCCTGAACTTCACGATTTGGGAGGACGGCCGTGGTGCCCTGCACGGTGGCACCGCCCGGCCTGTACGGGAGGATGTCGTCGTAGTTGTTGTCATCCTCGTTCACCTGCCGCTGGTCTGGGTTCTCATAGTCCTCGTCTGATGGGTCCATGTAGTAATTCGTTGGCGAAACCTGAAGAGGGGAGGTGAAGCGGGTGGAGGTGGAGGGGGTGAGAAAGAAATGTTGAGGATCGATGTCGCCATACGTTCAAGGGTGTTTGGCAGTGCAGTAAAACCTTGGGTTGCGAAGCACAATTCGTTCCGGAAACGTGTTTGTAATCCAAAGCACACGCGTACATCAAAGCACAACGTGCATCAGTTGTGATCATGTGACGCTCGGCAGTACAAAAGCGTGTTACACGTACTGCAGCCGCTCGTATTGCTAAGACCCTCGCTCGTTTATCAAATTAATATTTATTTACAAATGTTTTTGCTCGTCTTGCACAAGCACTCGCAAGACCAAGTTACTCGCGATCCACAAGGTTTTACTGTACATAGCTGAGTGGGCCTTACCTGGTAAAATAAAAATTATTCGTTTATCTTAGTTTCATGTCAGGAGGAGGAGCCTGTTAGAGGCTACGTGGGGGAGCTTTGTCCGTGGCTTTAGTGTGTGGGGCTCTCTCACCGTAAAACCGTATTTATTTTGAATGTAACATCACCTCCACTCAAGGGGGGGGTATCAAAACATTGTACGCTAAAATAAAATCCAAAGACAATAAAATTACGTTTTTTTTATTTAAAGCTTTCGTGACTGCAGGGATTCATATTCTTGGTTCTTTCGGTAAAGTCACCACCACGTAGAAGGGAAACAATAAAATAAAAAAAATCTAAAACAATAAAATTCTCACGACGTTTCGACTGCGACACAAGCAATCATCATCAGGTGTGAAAACCACAGCAATAATTTTTTTTAAAAAGTGGCGTTTTTATTTTTAACGTTAGCACCACGGAGAGCGATTTGACAATTTGTTCAGATGGACTCGTCCATCTGTGTTCGGAAAAGAGGAGGGGGGAGACGAAAAATAATGTATGCGGCGTGAAAGCCATTATTTTTCGTCTCCCCCTCCTCTTTTCCGAACATAGATGGACTCGTCCATCTAAAAGATTGTCAAATCGCTCTCCGTGGTGCTAACGTTTAAAAAAAACCCGCCACTTTTTCCAAACTTTCTTGCTGTGGTTTTCACACCTGATGACGATTGCTTCCTGCGTCGCAGCCGAAACGTCGCGAGAATGTTATTGCTTTAGATTTTTTTTTATTATTTCATTGCTTCCCTTCTACGTGGTGGTGCCTTTACCGAAAGAACCCAGGAATAATAAAATTACGTTTAAGCAAAAGCCAATGGGGGAATCGCGCGTGTTCCGCGCTCCCTCCAAAAAACAAACACACTGATACCCGTAGCGTGCCGGATCACAACCGGCGAGGCATTCCAGAGCCTTTTGGGCAACACTTGAGAAGGCGTGACCCGACCCCCGCCCGCCCCGCCAGCATCGAGCGCAAGTGCCGAGGCTGGGGGACAGGAGGTCCTGCTCTGCAGAGCGGAGTGGATAGACCCCCGGTCGCATGACAGATCAGCCGGGGGACCTCGCAGGTACATCGCTCCAAGAACACGCAGGGCTTCATAGACCACCTGGGAAGTGCTGCTCTGTGTCTTTACGACGTATCTGACGGATTCGCGGGTCGCCTGCCGTTCTTCCTCCTCCTGTAGGAAGCGGGGGGGGGGGGGGGGGGGCGGGGCAATGGTAAGGTACAGCAAGTAGGATACAGCCCGGCAGGCTGGCCAGCCCATTGCCAGGCTGGGGTGGTGGTGGTGATGGTGGTGGTGGATAGTTGAGTTTGTGGCCGACTGCGTGATTGGTAATGCATGCAATGTGTGTTGAACTTCCTCGGCACCGCAACGTACATACACGCAGTTCTAAAGAAATTCGTCTTCACTCGAGATGTGAAAGTGAATCGCTCCAGTGGCTTTTTTTTTAATTGTCGGAAGGAAGAGCGTTCCAGACGGCCGGGTGAGTAGGCGGGTGAGTGTCGGGACTCTCACGGGAGGTGGCTTGGAGGTTGTGCGTGCACGCCGACCACGCAGGAGAAGATAGCAGAGCACGGAGCTCACGGCCAGCAGTGGCAGCCCCAATCCAAGGCCCAGACCCAGGCCCAGCGACAGCAACTGGAGGCCACACAGACTTAGCACTGAGACCCACAAACTCAACACTGCACCGTAGGCTCAACATTGAGACCCATAGACTCAACACTGCCCATGGATTCTACACCGCCTATATACTCAACACTGTACCATAGACTCAACACTGTGTGTACCATAGACTCAACACTGTGTGTACCATAGACTCAACACTGCCCATGGATTCTACACCGCCTATATACTCAACACTGTACCATAGACTCAACACTGTGTGTACCATAGACTCAACACTGCCCATGGATTCTACACCGCCTATATACTCAACACTGCCACCCATAGATTCAACCCTGCCCGTAGACTCAACACTGTGTGTACCATAGACTGAACACTGTGTGTACCATAGACTCAACACTGAGACCCATGGACTCAACACTGCCCATAGATTAAACACTGCCACCCATAGATTCAACCCTGCCCGTAGACTCAACACTGTGTGTACCATCGACTCAACACTGAAACCCATGGACTCAACACTGCCCATAGATTCAACACTGCCACCAATAGATTCAACACTGCCCGTAGACTCAACACTGTGTGTACCATAGACTCAACACTGTGTGTACCATACACTCAACACTGTGTGTACCATAGACTCAACACTGAGATCCACAGACTCAAAACTGCCCATATATTCAACACTGCCACCCATAGACTCAACACTGAGAGCCATACACTCAACACTACACCCAGAGCACTCACCGATGCACAGCTGTTGCTGCTGTTGGCAGTGGGTGTGTAAGCGGTTGGGGTATGCGAATCTGTGGGGGCAGAGGTCCAATTGGTGGAGTTGGCCGTGTACCAGGACGGAGAGAAGGTGGAGGCGCCTCCAGGGCAGATGTTGGCCTGTGGGGAGAGAAATTGATGCACTCACCCATTCACTAACACACTCAATCACTAACTCACCCACCCACTCACATGCTCACCCACTCATTCACACACTCACCCACTCAATCACTAACTCACCCACCCACTCACATGCTCACCCACTCACTCACCCACTCACACACTCAATCACTAACTCACCCACCCACTCACACACTCAATCACTAACTCACCCACCCACTCACATGCTCACCCACTCAATCACCCACTCACACACTCAATAACTAACTCACCTAATCACCTATTCACTCACACACTCACACACTCAATCACTAAGCACCTAACCCACTCACATGCTCACCCACTCACTCGCCCACTCACTCACACACTCACCCACTCAATCACTAACTTACCCACTCACCCATTCACTCACACTCACACACTCAATCACTAACTCACCCAAATACACACTCACCCACTCAATCACTAACTCACCCACCCACTCACATGCTCACCTACTCAATCACCCACTCACTCACACACTCACTCACCCACTCACTCACCCACTCACTTACACACTCACAGACTCAATCACTAACTCACCCACCCACTCACACACTCACCCACTCAATCACTAACTCACCCACCCACTCACATGCTCACCTACTCACTCACCCACTCACTCACACACTCACTCACCCACTCACTCACCCACTCACTCACACACTCACCCACTCAATCACTAACTCACACACCCACGCACATGCTCACCTACTCAATCACCCACTCAATCACACACTCACCCACTCAATCACTAACTCACCCACCCACTCATATGCTCACCTACTCACCCACTCACTCACACACTCACTAACTCACCCACCGAATCACATGCTCACCCACTCAATCGCCCACTCACACACTCACACACTCAATCACTAACTCACCCATCCACTCACATGCTCACATACTCAATCACCCACTCACTCACCCACTCACTCACACACTCACCCACTCAATCACTAACTCACCCACCCACTCACATGCTCACCCACTCAATCACCCACTCAATCACCCACTCACACACTCAATCACTAACTCACTCACCCACTCACATGCTCACCTACTCACTCACCCAGTCACTCACACACTCACTCACCCACTCACTCACTCACCCACTCACTCACACACTCACCCAATCAATCACTAACTCACCCACTCACATGCTCACCTATTCAATCAACCACTCACTCACACACTCACCCACTCAATCACTAACTCACCCATCCACTCACATGCTCACCTACTGAATCAACCACTCACTCATCCACTCACTCACACACTCACCAACTCAATCACTAACTCACCCACCCACTCACATGCTCACCCACTCAATTACCCACTCACTCACACACTCACAGACTCAATCACTAATTCACCCACCCACTCACATGCTCACCCACTCAATCACTAACTCACCTACCCACTCACATGCTCACCCATTCTCTCACCCACTCACTCACACACTCACCAACTCAATCACTAACTCACCTACCCACTCACACACTCACAGACTCAATCACTAACTCACCCACGCAATTACTAACTCACTCAGCCACTCAATCACTGTCTCACCCACCAAATCACCCACTCACAAACTCACCCACTCAATAACTGACACCCACCCACTCACTCACGCAACTTCCCCACCAATGTAGTCGCACACATACCCATTCTCTCACCCACTCCACCACCCACTCACTCACACACCTACCCATACACCCACCCACGCACGGACCCACTGACTCACTCACCAATTATCTCACTCACTCACCTACTCACATACTCACATACTCACCCACTCACCCACTCAGCTACTCACCCACTCACTCACCTACTCACTCACCTACTCACTCACCCATTCACTCACATACTCACCCACTCACCCACTCAGCTACTCACCCACTCACTCACCTACTCACTCACCTACTCACTCAAATATTCGCCTTCTCACTCATCTACTCACTCACCTACTCACCTATTCAGTCACCAACTAACCTACTCACTCACCTACATATTCACTCACCCACTTATACACTCACTCACATATTCACTTCCTCACTCACTAACATACTCACCTACTCACCCACCCTATTACCTACTCACGCACCCACTCATTCACCTACTTACTCCCTTACCTACTCACTCACCCACTCACCTAATCACACACTCACCCATTCACTCACCGACACACTCACCGACTCACCCACTCACCTAATCACTCACCTACTCACCTACACACTCACCCACATATACACACTCACCTCCTCACTCACCTCCTCACTCACCCACTTGCTCACCTACTCACTCACCCACTCACTCCCCTACTCACTCACCCACTCACCCACTCACTCACGTACTCACTCACCCACCCACTCACCCACTCAATCACTAACTCACCAACCCACTCACATGCTCACCCACTCAATCACCCACTCACTCACCCACTCACCCACTCAATCACTAACTCACCTACCCACTCACACACTCACAGACTCAATCACTAACTCACCCACGCAATTACTAACTCACTCAGCCACTCAATCACTGTCTCACCCACCAAATCACCCACTCACAAACTCACCCACTCAATAACTGACACCCACCCACTCACGCAACTTTCCCACTTATGCAGTCGCACACATACCCATTCTCTCACCCACTCCACCACCCACTCACTCACACACCTACCCATACACCCACCCACGCACGCTCTCACTGACTCACTCACAAATTATCTCACCCACTCATCCACTCACCTACTCACTCACCCACCCAATCACCTACTCACTCACATACTCACCTCCTCACTTATCCACTCACTAACCTGCTCATCTATTCAGTCACCCACTCACCTACTCACTCACCCACTTATACACTCACTCACATACTCACTTCCTCACTCACTAATATACTTACCCACTCTATTACCTACTCACGCACCCACCCACTCCCCTACTCCCTTACCTACTCACTCACCCACTCACCTAATCACTCACCCATTCACTCACCTACTCACTCACCTAATCACTCACCTACTCACCTACTCACTCACCTACTCACTCACCCACTTACCTAATCACTCACCTACTCACCTACACACTCACCCACATATACATTCACTCACTCGCATACTCACCTCCTCACTCACCCACTCAGCTACTCACTCACCTACTCACCTACACACTCACCTACATACTCACTCACCCACATATACACTCACTCACTCACATACTCACTCACCTCTCACTCACCCACTCACTCACCTCCTCACTCAACCACCTACCTACTCACTAAACTACTCACTCACCACTTACCTACTCACTTACTCATCGACTCACCCACTCATCTACTCACTCACCTACTAATTTACTTACCCACCCATTCAAGCACTCACCTACTCACTCACCTACTCACTTACCTACTCACTTACCTACTCACTCATTCATCGACTCACCCATTCATCTACTCACTCACTCACTCACCTACTAACTCACTACTCACTCACCCACCCATTCACGCACTCACCCACTCACTCACCTATTCACTCACCACAAATCCCAACTTCCCAACCAAGCCAGGAAACCTTCAATGTCGGAGTGGTGGGTGCAGTGGCCACAACGTTAACATTCATTTATATCAATTGGATGAGGGACGGAGAGACAATCACACACCCACCCACCCACTCACCCACACACTCACCCACACACTCACTCACTCACCCACTCACTCACCCACTCACTTACCCACTCACTCACGCACTCACTCACCCACTCACCCATCCACCCACCCACATACGCATTTATCCTGTCACATCATTACCAATGTGTTGATCATCACCACCACTACCACCATCATCTTCATCTTCACCATTGTCAGAGCTCTGGTGGTGATGAACAACATCATCATCATCACTATCATCATTAACATCATAAACATCAACATTATCATCTATATCATCATCATCAACATCATCATCATCACTGTCATCATTAACATCATAAACATCATCATCAACATCCATATCTATATCATCAACATCATCATTATCACTATCATCATTAACATCATAAACATCATCATCATCAACACCATCATCTATATCATCATCAACATCATCAGAACCAGATAAAGTCCACTACTGCTATGCAATATTCCTAGACCTGTCAAAGCCTTTGATACTGTTAACCATGATATTCTACCTTCGGGACTTGGTCAAATTAAACGTTCATATGATACAATAAACTGGTTTGAGAGTTACTTATCAGGCCATTCTCAAAAGGTACAGAGTTTTGGCATTGCGATGCTTATCTCGGGCAAATCTCTATACGAAGTAAAAAAAAATCTGCCACACGATTTCTACTTAATGCAATGTCAAATGTCATCGCGACCATCGCTCCTGAATCAATGGGGGCAACTGAATCCCAAAAATAAACTCCAAGATCGTGCTCCTTCAAAGCAAAATCCGGTTTCATTGCCTCTCCCCTATTACAGATATCATACACCACATTCTTGAACAAACGGAGTGCTTCTAATGCTTGGGTTTTACTGATTCAAATCTTACATTCCAACCCCATGTTGATCAGATCTCAAATGAAATGAAATAAAAAATAGGGTTTCTATACAGAAACAAATACAATTTTCCCATTAGATTGCACCTGCAAATTGTGGAAGCCATCATTCTACCACGATTTGACTACCGTGACGCTGCTTACAGATCAGCTGCGAATGAATTACTAAACAGACTAGACCCACTTTGATCATTGTGATCTTCGATTTCCACTGGATGTAGCATACAGGACCCACTAATGTGACCTCTACTTAAAATCCAATCTCATATCACTTGATGGAACAAGAATTCTACATTGGGCCCTGTTAATCCATAAAATCCTTCTCGGCAAATCTGAGCTTTAAACTTAGCTAATTCATTAACCCCATTGTCAAACCGAAGACGTCCATATAATTGCCCTTTGATTATCCCTAGAACAAGAATTGGAATATGTGACAAAGCCAGTTGTAAGTAAGCTTTAGCGGCCAATATTATTGTTCATAATAAAGATTTTTTGGGGGGGGGGGGGTTAGATCACGTTAAAAAGTCAATGCCAGTACCAACGTTTTAGAACAACCTAGTTACCTCCCTAAACATCGTAAATATTCTAGATCAGAATCAGAATCAGAAAGGGTTTTATTCGCCATGAAAGTTCACACCGACACGGAATTTACTTTGGCAGGATGGTGCATACATTCAACATATAGGAATCTAAAATCTTAAATAAGTTTTTAACAAGTCTTACTATAATAAAAAGGGTTAAAAGTCTAACTAACACCAAGGGGCTGAAGTATATAAAATTGAATAAATATCGAATGTAAAATAGCTTTAAGATATAATTTAAAAATAAAAAATACAAATAGGTTAACATAGTTAATATCGGCAAGGTGTCATTATGTAGAAGCTTTCGTGACTGCAAGGATTCATACTCTTTGAATTTTTTCGGTAAAGTCACGAAATAAACAACTACATTTACACACAAAAAAACCAAAGAGTATGAATCGTAAATATTCCTTAAACAATTTTAATCCCCGAAACGGAGGATCAGTGCGCGATACAGCAGACACAGTTGCACATGTGATTTGGAATCTTGAACCTCGACCCCTGTTGTAGTCGATCGTTAAAGAATCAAAGTGCAATGCATTCCATCGAGGGACTGTTGTGCGTTGTTTGTCTTTGGTGTGGTCTGGCGCTGCTGTTGCTCTTTTACTGCAGTGCCGCAAGCTTGCACTTGGGGTACGGCAAGTTTGCAGGAAGGCATTTACTCGTGCAATTTGTATTTCCATCTTTTATCAATAGCCGTGGAGGGCTTTAGCGATTAATATCCATGCGAAATGTTTTTTTTTCCCCATTACATTTCGTAAATACATATTTTCTTATAACTGTTAAGAACATCCACATCAAACAGGCAGCTTCACTCGCCAGTTTTCGTTCCTCCCTTAAGACTCATCTAAAATAGCATATCGTCGTCCTTGAAACCTTAACCATTATTTCCCTTCCTAACCGCGCTAGCCCTCCCTTTCCCTATCATCACCCTTCCTTGTCAAACCTTCCTCTCCCCAACAAAAAAAATCCTATCCGTTTCCCCCGTCAGCCAATAACAAATATACATTTTTTTTTTATTCTTGTAAAGCGCTCTGATAAAAGTGCAATATAAAATCCTAGATAAGATAAGATGAAGAACAACAATAACAACCAGCAGCTGCATCAGGGCGATTATCCAGAATGGTGAATGAGGCTTTCCGTTTCGGTCTAAAATAAAATGTACAGTAGACCCTCAATTATCCGCGCAAATGACGGGGAGGATGGCCGTGGATAATTCAAATATCGCGGATCTCTTAAGACGAAAACTGGCAATCGACCGGTCGATGAAGCGCATGCTAAGTGGTAATAACACTTTCTTGCTCCCGCCCTGCAGAAGACTCGGCCCACTGAGTGGATGATAGAAGCAGAGCCACGCCAAATCAACATCAATCAAACTCCACCCCACTGTTGTAAAGATATTGCAACTACTGTGCTGTAGAGGCGATCACGTGGATTTCGGATTAGCTGTAGCAACACATCTGTTCGCTTTAAGCACCACGTGACTTCGAATACACATTTCCAAGAATAACAACGAGTATCAATGTTTTTAGCTTATTAATTTGGGCTGAAGGGAAGATCCACGAGTTATTAATTCATGTCAAAATCTCAGGTGCGTGGTTAATCCTTAAATCGGATAAACCGCACGCGGATAATCGAGAGTTTCCTGTATTTGTCTCGATTTAGTTATTATCTCGCTACTCGATACCTATCGCTCAACATTGCTCTTCTCATATCGTTCTTTGTATCACGTTTGTTGATGTAACTAACCCCCCCCCCCCCCGTCCCTATAGGACATCTGTGGAAGTCAAGAGTTTCATAGCTCATCGGATTTCCTCCTCCAGGATGAACAACGATTCTGATTTAAACTAAAGTATTTACACTTTTTTTGTTTATTTCACCGGGCACGGCCTCTCTGAGCTATGTAACCACTTTTTCAGAGGCGACCTGGATATCACAAATGATAGCTGCCCAAATAAATTGGCATATCACGTGGGCATCTTTAGCAGCCGGAAGACCTGGGACACAAATCCAAACGACCATGGGGAGAGAGAGACACACCTCAAACTACAACTATACAGCAGGTGTCAGGGTCGGGATCGAACCCACCACTTTCTGTATACCAAGCAAGGTAGTTAACATCTCACAACCACGCAGCGCCCAAAAGAGTGGGATTCAAGCCCGGGCCGCTGGTTTGCAAAGGGCTACAAATGTTACCACTGTGCCAAACAAGTGCTGTGCTTGATTTAGTGGTAGGGGTAGGGTAAGGGTTAGATTATGGATAGGGTAGGGGTAGCATAGGGGTATAGGTATGGAAGGGGTAAGGCTAGGAGTAGAATAGAAGTCGAGAATGAATAGGATAGAGCAAGGCCGTAGCCATGGAGTCAACATTGGGGGGGAACCAAATCTTTCAGGGTGTCTGGGGGTCCCAACCCAGAAAAAAAAATCTAAATTTGAAAACTAATTTCCTGCCTAAAATCTAAAAAAAATTCACTAACACGTGGGATGAACTTTTTTTTTTACAATAATGTCTAATAGTAGTATTGTATTACATTGCTCTGTTTTTACTTTTCGACAATTTCTTGCTTCATTGTATGTAATGGCAGAGATTAGGGATTAATAAAGTACAACCATAAGCACAATCATATAAACATAAATCTATGCATTGATTTATATGAAGACGAGTCCAGATATTGTGGCCAGGGTTTAGCAAATTGTTATTTTTATTTACATAGCATAGCAATCACATTTTTTATACCAAAATATTGGGGGGGGGGCATTTGAGCATATTTGAATTTTGGGGGGGATATGTCCCCCCCAATATATATTATAATTACGGCCTTGGGATAGAGGTAGGTTATGGATAGAAATGGAGTAGAATAGGGGCATGGACGTATGTACGTTGAACTTTCACACCGTACGTAGCCAACCGTGCTAAGAGGAGGTGCGGGTAGGGGAGAGGTAGGGTAGGGATAGGGTAGGGTTAGGGCTAGGGTTAGTGTTTGGCGTAGGGCAGAGTTCGAGTGTTATTTGTGCCGGGTCCATTTACAGCTGTAATCCTGAGTTAAATATTAACCAGATGGGGTTTGACCACGAAATGTCATATACGCCTGTCCTCCTGGACTCTGGCATACGGCTTATTTCGGATCATCTTGTTGCGTATGTGTGTATGTATGCTTTAAGCGGTAGTGTAGCGGTCCGTGCGCTCCGCTACGAACCCGGTGACCCGAGTTCGATTACCACTCATGGCCACCAACACCAGTGATAGCCATTCTCTGAATCGGTCCTGGGCCTCCCCTAGGTCTACGCAGCCAAACAATGAGTACCTGGTGCAGCGTTGTGCAGTAAACATCGCCACTGGGGAGACAAAGGCGGTCGGTGCGCGGTTTTAGCCACCCAGCCCCTCGTGTGCCACAGTACCGGCCTTCATAGGTGCTATTCACTAACAGCACTTTACACACTGCACCAGGTACTCATTTGAGGCTGAGTCGACCCGGGGGAGGCCCAGGACCGGTTCAGGTAATACTGATGGTGGCCGTGACCGGGAATCGAACTCGGATATGGGGTTGTAGTATGTAGTACAGTGCGTCGCTACCCACTGCACGACCGCTCCCCCAGAATAAGAATCAGAATATTTATTTATACTGCGAGGAATCTGATGAGTTACAAAGCTGTTTTTTTCACAGATGTAACGTTCTTATCACGGGATAAGAAACACTACAACAACACACACAACAAACAAACACTATAGTAGTTAAAAGTACAAGAAAGGTAATCAAATCACCCAAACACCTACACATACAACGAATCCATCCCCATCCTACCAAGCAAAGCCCAATGAGGTATGAACTTATTTTTCACAAGCGACCTGGCCACAAAAGATAACTCAACTAAGTGGCTTATCATGTGAAAATTTATAGCAGCAAACTAATCTATATAATCTTAACCACACACTCCAAGGTCACGTGAAGGGTCGAAGGCTTGCTTAAAGGAGATCACTGGACAGACCCAGCAGGTGCCATGGGTCGACTGTCTGAGACGACTGGCAGATGCACCAACTGTGCCTAACTTGGTGTGTATCAGCCGCCCAGCGCACCGCTCGTTGTTGTGAGCATCGCTCCTCTGTCCTCCATTGTTGTTGGAGGTCGACTGCTTCCAACTGCCCAGTAGTGTCCTTCACGAGCCTCCTCCAAAGAGGCCGATCTTAACACTGCTGGTACCAGTGATTTGCAAGTTCACTCTGCTCTATATTATCCTGTACCACATCACTCCATCTCTTCTCCAGCCCATGCCACGCACATTTAGCCCCTTCTATCTGGCCAAACAGAAACTAATTGGGCATGTGGTGGCTGGGCATGCTGGTTACATGACCCAGCCAATGCAGCCTTGACTGTCGGAGGAGCTCACAGATGGTAGTGTCCAGATCTTTCGAGGATTTGCGAGCTCTTCACACAATCCAGCCTGCAGGTTAAACCCAGGATGGATCGCAGGCAGTCCAGCCTAAATGTTTCTAACTGGCGCAGATCTTCACCCTTTACAGGGTTCCACGTTTTACAAGCTTACCGAAGGGAGGGCATGACTGTGACTAGAGGCCGACCGAAACTGAATTTCTGGTTTCGGCCAAAACCTGAAACCAGACCGAAAGTTAAATATTGACTTTCGACCGAAACAGAAACAGAAAGGTATATAACCGAAGTTACCGAACACAAGATTTATGAAATTTCATGATGCAATGCTACTTTAATTAAAAATAAATCTAGAACTAATCATTCAGAGCCTGCAGTAAGAGTCGCTAAATATAAAATCTTTAAGTGTTACTTACTTAGCACTTATATCCAAACAAACGAATATTGTAGTTAAGAATCAACAGTTTTTTCCGCATTCTCGACCAGCAGGTTGCTGCGCCTTGCTTTGATCAGAATCGACTTTAGTGAAGTAATCCCACACCGCATGTTTCGACATTCTTCACGGTGACTAACTGCTCGGTTTATTAACTTTAATTTTTTACTTCACTCTGACTCGTAATTTCGTTATCACTAATTCGCTACGGAACTATTAACTCACTGAATATCAATATTGTCAGACCTCTAATCTCGGTATCAACACGCGTGTAGACTCGAGCGAACGCAACACATAAAAGCCAAGGCGGGCAGGCGGCTGGGAACAGACAACGGAGGCACTTTGTTGTCGCCCGTCAAAGAGATTCCACCCACGGATGCAGATGCAGGCTGCAGTCTGTTGCCATTAGCAGACCATCGTTGGGGCTGTAACCTCGCTCCCAAGCTGCTGCTGCTGACGTGTGTGTGTGTGTTTGTAGCCTATCGCATAGGATTGCCTAGTGCCGACTGACCGGCCGATAGGCAGAGAGATAGACGTAGCACTAGGCGTTATATTCTTCAAATAGATCTTCGGTTGACGACCGAAAGTCAATATCAGTTTCGGCCGAAACCGAAACCAGACCGAAAGTTAAAAATTTACTTTCTGCCGAAACCGAATCTATGCCGAAAGTGGCCATTTGCCAACTTTCGGCGCCGAAACCAAAACCGAATTTCGGTCGGCCTCTAACTGTGACCTTGACAACCGGAAGCTTCCTGTGGAGTAACAGGCCAGGTGGCTTCCACACATCATTACAACAGCTGATGATAAAATAAGGCCGTTCGACCGATTCAGAGTGAGACCTGTTGAATCTGAGCGGATCATAAGCACACTGCCAACGTACATAAGCCTCTCCACTCTCTTCAGAAGTGCCACATCAATCTCAGAAACTAATATTAAACGATGAAAACATAAGGAAAGGCTTTAACCTTTCTGGCAATAAAACAGAAGGTATAAAGATGTTCAAACACCAAATATAAACCTATTGCACGGCATCATCAAGTCTCCATTAACCACCCATACTTGTGGTAACACATATACACAAATATGCTCTGATATTATATTGTTTGCATTTGAAATTGATCGGCCTACACCAGGACAGCCTTCTTTATGGGTAATCTAAACTACCTTGATTTGATGCTTTCGTGACTGCAGGAATCCATGTTCTTTGGTTCTTTCGGTAAAGTCACGTAGATATATTTTATACAATCTAAACTATATTTTGATTTAAAGCTTTCGTGACTGCAGGGATTCATATTCTTGGTTCTTTCGGTAAAGTCACGTAGAATGAGAATAAAATAATAAATTGATAAAATAAAATAACACAATAATATTCTCACAACGTTTCGGCCACAACACAAGCGGCCTTCATCAGGTGAAGGGACGAGACTGTCTGGAGGACAGCGCTGGAGTGAAAAAGCCACGCTCAGATCGCGACCTTTAAGCTGTGTGAGAAGAAAAAAAGCGCCTTGACAAAGGAATTAGCATAGAATTTAGCATTGAAATGGCTGAGTGATTAGCTTGTGACTGGTCACAGAAATGGCTATGTTAAAGTTAAAACATACACATCCGCAGTGGCACCCCTTGACAAAGGAATTAGCATAGAATTTAGCATTGAAATAGCTAAGTTAAAGCATACACATCCGCAGAGGCACCCCTTGACAAAGGAATTAGCATAGAATTTAGCATTGAAATAGCTGAGTGATTAGCTTGTAACTGGTCACAGAAATAGCTATGTTAAAGTCAGAGCATATACATTCACAAAGGCACCTAGTACAAATTCAACAGGAGAATTTAGCATTGAAATAACTAGGCGAATTTAGCATTGTCCTCCAGACAGTCTCGTCCCTTCACCTGATGAAGGCCGCTTGTGTTGTGGCCAAAACGTCGTGAGAATATTATTGTGTTCTTTTATTTTATCAATTTATTATTTTATTATCATTCTACGTGACTTTACCGAAAGAACCAGAGAAGATGAAGCCTTGCAGTCACGAAAGCTTTAAATCGAAATTTAAAACAAAATTCTCACGACGTTCCGACTGCAACATCATCAGGTGTGATAATGATTGCTTGTGTTGCAGTCGACACGTCGTGAGAATTGTATTGTTTTATATTTTTATTATTTTATTGTTTGCCTTCTACGTGACTTTACCGAAAGAACCAAGAATATGAATCTAATCTATGTTTTATTTTCCCAGGTAAGGCCCACTGAGCTAAAAATCTCCTTTTCAGAAGGGACCTGACCACAAATTACAGCTCAACGAAGTGGCTCATCATATGTACATGCACAGCAGCCAAACACACTAAAAACGCATGTTTCAAAATGTGGAAGGAAAAACCAGAGGACTCGGAGAGTCACGCAGATCCCCCGCACCTGCCCACCATCATAAAGGTCCTTAATTATTCTGGGCAGAGAGTCAAACACACTCACACACTTTCACTCGGGTACCTGTAGCGTCGCAGCCTTTAGATGCCAGAACTGTTTGCAAAGCTCCTATTAAGGGGCAGGTGGATTCTACTAAAATGCCATCACTCTGTTTCCCTCATTATCCCCCTGTCTCCATCTGCCCTCTCTTCCTCGTCCGTCTCACTGACACTAATCTCTGCACTTTACACCTCTCCCCCCTCTCCCTCCCCCTCTCCGCTCTTTCTCCCACTCTTCCTTCTCTCTCCCCCCCCCCTCTCATTTCTCTCTCCCCCTCTCCCCTACCTCTCTCCCCCACCTCCTATACCTCTCTTCTCTCTCTCGTCTCACTGGCTCTAATCTATCCACTTTGCACCTTCCCTTTTTAATTAGCCAGCCGGAGATAGACCAACTCCTCACATAAGCAACAGCGTTGGCTGGGCATGCAGGCTACATCACCCAGATCATGAGGGAAGAATTACCTCATCAGAACTCTACACCATAGAGCTCGATGTATTTCCGACCGTCATTACCTAGCCAGTGAACTGGAACACGTACACCAAGCCCTCAAGATGAATGGATATTCTGACCACACAATCCGTAAAGCTATCACCCCAACCGTTGGGAAAGAACCATCTGAGGACCCAATCAAAACCATCACCTTGCCATACATAGCAGGGGTCACTAAAAAGATTTCCAAAATCACGAGCAAACAGAAGATCCAGGTTCGATTGTTGCTTCTGTTGAATAAAACACGTCAAGTTGGCACAGTTGGGGGCACAGGTGGTGCATCGGCCAGTCATCTGAGTCAGTCGACCCATGGTACCTGGGTCTGCCCCGTGACCTCCTGCCAGCAGGCGTTCGACACTTCCCGTGGCTTTAACGTGCACCAAGCCTGGCACAAGTGCTATGGTGGCGTCACCACCATTTAGTGGCGAATGGCGGTTGTTGTTGTATAGTAGTGTAGTGTTCAATCGTATAGTGTATATAGTGTAGTGTATAGTAGTGTAGTCTATACGTAGTAATCTAGTGTAGTGTATAGTAGAGTGGTGCATACCGACGTGAGGCTGTAACAGTTCGAGACCTTTGGTGTGCAAAGCAAATTTTGAGTGAGGCTGCGTGAGGGTTCTACCATGAGCCTTCAGTGCAAGGCGAGAGTAGTGAGGCGAGAAATGGTTATGTCAACCATTCGTTTATCTATACGATGTCATGCCCCTTTCCTCTTGCTATAGCTTCTCTGCCCTTTGGCACCTTAAAAACAACAACAATAATACATTTTGATTGAAAGCTTTCGTGACTGCAGGGATTCATATTCATGGTTCTTTCGGTAAAGTCACCACGTAGAAGGGAAACAATAAAAGGATAAAAATATAAAACAATGAAATTCTCACGACGTTTCTTTGCAGTATCTGCGTGGATTTGTTTCAGATCGCCGTTGAATGAATGATTGGGGCCAGTCGTTGATGATATGTTGCACGGTCTGAGATGTCACATTCACCTCCAACAGTCACACACTGGACATCTCGTTAATTTTATATTCACGGAGAAAGTGTCCCACATCTCCCTTGGAGTGTTCCGGATCCGATTCAAGGAGGACCCCAGGATCTTTCTCGGGAGGTCAGATCCTGCTTGGAGGATTGTGGGGGGGGGGGGGGGGGGGGGGGGGGGGGTTGCTGATGATGGATGTCTACAGCAGATTGGTATTTTGCCACAGGCTTCCCTCCATCGTTTTTCGGTGGCCTTGTCGTCGTCATGGGGGATCTTTGAATATTTCCAGAAAGGTTTTCTAGATTTGAGCCACCTGTGCAGTGGTGGTGGCATGGAGATGTCTTGTTTATTGGGAGGTTTGGATTTCTGATGGCCGAGCAGAACCCCCCCCCCCACGCACGCAGCATCATCGCGGCAGAGCTGCAGAGGACTAGCAATGTTTGCGAGCCATGGCAGCGGTGTTGCTCTTTGGCTTCCCTGAGGTTGCATCCGGCTGTGTACAGGAGGAGAATGTACGTGTTGAGGAGCAGTGAGTGACGTCATGTCACGCTTGCCTCCGGTACGGTGACGGGATGTCCTCCTGGGGTATTTAAGGGGGGGGGGGGGCCCGTGACGTAAACGGGGTCGTCTTGGAAGTCCGAGAAAGGTGAATGCGGTGATTGCGACCCAGGGTAGGGGAATCTAACACGGGACCAAGAGTGGCTCTGTTCCCGACTGACCAGAGTTGGATCATCCCTCGGCCAGTCAGGGAGAAGAGCCCGGATAGTTAGGGGGGTGTTCGGGATTCCCAGTACCCTTCCCTGGGGGGGGGGAATAGAATAGCCAGGAGTGTGGGCGGGAGCAGTACCAGTTTAGGCGTAAGCCTCCAAATAAACCTTGGCATCAGCCCTTCTGAAGATCTATCTCCGCGTCATACTTTGCACCAGAACATAAGTATGGAACTATGCTAAAGTGCCCCATTGCCAAAATTACACTCGAGTGTCTATACCTCGCCGGAACTGTGCATGGACAATTCGCTTTTACGATATAGCAGTAGGCATCGTTAAAAAAAAAAACGCCACAAAGCTATAAAACACTAAATAGCATGACATTTTAACCAACATTTATAATGGTCATATTTCCAGAGAAAGAGTGTACTCGGAAGGTAAACTGTCTGAACTATTTCTGAGGCAGGAATGTCCGGAGGAGTTTTGCAATAAATTAGCAGAGCAAAACAACAATTGATATACCACTGATGGTAAATTTCACAGCATTGTGAGGAAGCCAATGCGGTGACCACTCAAGCATCGGAGATCTGTAAGTTGCAGGGTGGGTGTCAGGTTCCCCTGCTGAATCTTGGAACGCACAAGCGGCTCAGCATTAATATAAAAAGGCATAGAAGCGCCAGTGTTTTTAAAGACATTGTACTCACCGCAGAGAACTGTAGAAACATGACCGCTGCACTCTACGGTAGCTGGCACCAAAATGTGCCACACTTTCTCCCGCATGGCCTTGTGGGAGCCTTAGTATATATGTTGCACACTCGAAATGAAGGACGTGGGCAGGTGCTCCAAATCGAGGGCAAACACATTTATTGTGGTTAAGATGTAACAGCACGTGGTGTCACACACAGCAATTCTTGAACCGAGTCGCCATTAACCACGTGACTGGTGTACAAGTGCGGTTAATCAATTACAGTTTTCTTAAACCCAATTCTACTACTAATAAACCATCTTTGTCTTTGACAGTAACCTTTGCATTTCACTGTTCGAATATTACTTTAATCCTAAGCTGTATGTCTATTGATACCATCGACTTATATTGGTATCTTACACCCATTACCTGTACTGTATGTGTACAGTATACGTACTGTACGTGTCACCATTGTAACACTTACGACTATGCATGTGTTCTATTCTCAATAGCATTGCAAGTAGTCATACTCTGGATGCATGGGCATGGTTATAGACTAAAAAGTACTAGGGTTAGAGAATTACAATCACGGTATGTAATTTCAGTGCATCATCCTTTACAATGCACAGTGCTAAAACCTTTCCAATTTGAAAATATCACAAACGAACAATTCAAAGCCAAGGTTAAAGTCTAGAACAAGTCTAGAACATTTCTATAACGATCAAAAACCAACCTTCGGGTCCTTTACCTGTAAGATGCAACAGCACGTGGTGTCGTCACACACAGCAATTATTGAACCAAGTCGTCATTAACCACGTGACTGGTATCCAAGTGCGGTTATTGAATAACCCTGCCAGCCACCTACAGGCCCAACTCAGTCATCACATGCTGCTGTACACACGTGCATTGATGCACTGCACAGCACATCATGACTTTGACAGAACCACACTTTACTCCCTTGCTGCACAAGGAATTCATTTAAAGAGTGGTCCATTCCGAATGTGTCACATCTGTAAAGTTATTTTATTTCAGTTTTTATTTCAATTCCGGGTACGTCATCAGAATGGAATCGAAATAACAGTTTACAATATTCACGTACATCATCGGACTGGAAAAGGTGTTACAACAAATAAATGTACACCAATTCGAGGAATAGGGGTAGCCAAACTGAAAGAGACACAAGAACAGGGCCCAAGTTTGGAAGATCTGTGGAGAAGAATCTGCCATTGATCAAAAAGTGCACAAGGGAAAAAAAATAATTGCGGAGAAGGGTTTGCTATTTGATGATTTCAGTCTCCAAAAAATTGAGCGTGGGAGAAAAATTCAAGCATTTGATTCCGTCTCAGACCATGCGGAAGCAGCTGGCACGTGACTCATTGAAGGGAAGATGTCTGAAAATTAAGCGGACGCTAAGCGAAGCACCATCTCAATTTTATTGGCCAGGTACGATTGGGGATGTGCGCAGATATTACCAATCCTGTGACGTTAGGGAAGGGGAGGACACTGAAGGTGCCATGAGACCAATGCCAATTCTAGGCGTACCTTTTAAAAGCGTTGCAGTAGATTTAATTGGTCCATTACCAGTCTTTACAAGGGGGTATAGGTACGTCAGCACCTGTACTATTATTTACATGGGGGTAGATATACATCTGTGCATCTGTACCCGTGCTCCCTAGTAGATGATGGTCAATGGACCAATTAAATCGACTGCAACTCTTTGAAAAGGTATGACTAGACTATGGCACGTGATATGCTGAGACAGCACCACTCAAAACCATTGAAATGATAGAAGCTACGGAGGCACTTGTGTGAACGTTCTCACGAGCTGGCATACCAAGGGAGGTGCCGAGCGACAGAGGAACACAATTCGTGTCTGAGCTCACGAAGGAAGGAGGGCGACTGTTGCCAGTACGGAGATTGCTGAGGACGACAGATAATCCGAAGTGCAATGGATTGATGGGACGTTTCAATGGAACATAAAAAAAAACCCAGAGAGTGGGATAGCTTCATAACACTAACTTGCTATTTTCATACGGAGACGTGCCACAAGAGAGAGTTTAGAATGTTTACCATTTGAGTTACTGCTTGGCACGACTGTAAGAAGACCCATGGCAGTATTGAAGCAATTACCGACCTCGATAAAAATCACGAGTACGTCAGTTTAACACGCAATAGGCTATCGCGACCAATACTATCTATGATAGAGTATTTTTGGCCAAGATTACATGGATATACATGTGTCGTTGAATCCGCCAACACCCGACACAGACAATTAGTAAAAGGTTAATCACGTAAACAAAAAGTGCCAATTAGTGACTAGTTCAACACGCCGGTGTATTGGAGAGTCAACACACGACAACA